TTAGGATACCCCCAACTGCCCTAGGGCAGCCACTTCCAACTCTTCTTTTGAAATAGGGTCTCGAGTGCGGTGGTGCCATCTGGCATTTCTTGCAGGGAGGCTTTTTTCCAAGGAGCTTCTCTTTACTTTCATTTATCTGGAAATGTCTTGATTTCACCCTGTCTTTTGAGGGAAAATTTTGTTTGACAGACTTCAGTGTTGAGAGTTTTTTCTTTCTACACTTTTTTTTTTTTTATTGTTAGCACTTCTCAGCATTGTCTTCTGGCCTCCATTATTCTAAGAAGTTATTTGTCATTTGTATTGTTGTTCTCATGTATGGAATATGTCTTTTATCAGACTGCTTTTCATATTTCCCCTTTATTCTTGTTTTCTGTTAGTTTGACTGTGATCTGCCTTGGTATATTTTGTATTTTTTCTGCTTGGGGTTTGCTGAGCTTCTTGGATCTTTAAGCCAGTGTGTTTCATCAGATTTGGAGATTTTTCAGCCATTTGTTCTTTGAATATTTTTCCCCATTATCACTATCTTTTCCTGGAACTGCAATTGAGACAGTTTGGTATTATTTCACATATCCCTGTGATTTTATTCATTTTCTTCAACCTTTTTTCCCCTTTCTCAAATTAACTCTTTATTGATTTTTCTTCAGGTTCACTGATTTTTTTTTTCTGCCATCTATAATCCACTGTTGAGCTTATCCAGTGACTTTTTCTCTTAATATAATTTTTAGTTCTAGAATTTCTACTCATTAAAAACTTAAGTTTACACACACGCACACACACACACGCACACATTTATTTATTTTTGAGACAGTCTCACTCTATTGTTCACGCTAGAGTGCAGTGGCACGATCTGGGCTCACTGCAACCTCTTCCTCCAAGATTCAAGGGATTCTCGTGCCTTAGCCTCCCAAGTAGTTGGGATTACAGGAGCATACCACGATGCCTGGCGAACTTTTATATTTTTAGTACAGATGTGGTTTTACCATGTTGGCCAGGCTGGCCTCGAACTCGTGACCTCAGGTGATCTGCCTGCCTTAGCCTCCCAAAGTGCTGGGATTACAGGCATGAACCACTGCGCCTGGCCAGTAATTTTAATAATAATAAATAGTTTAACAAAACGTTTTTTGCTGGCCGGGCGTGGTGGCTCAAGCCTGTAATCCCAGCACTTTGGGAGGCTGAGGCGGGTGGATCACGAAGT